CGCCGGACTTGATAGTCCTTTCTGGCAGTGAAGGCGGAGTGCCTGTGGGGTGCACGGGCCAGGAGAGGAAGGAGAGGCCTGCTCCACAAGTGGACGTGCTCCCACCTGTTTATGTTCAGCACGTTAATGACCCAGTATTTGCACAGCTGAAGGAAAGGAAAGCACCCCGAGGACAGACGCCGGCAGGAACTCGAGAAGTTTGCAAACCAGAAAAACATGAGCTGGAAAAGGGCCGCAAATGTAATAAGTAAAAAGTACCCCAGCCAAGGCAAACCTCGTGTTGGGGTGCCGCACGCCCAGGGAATCAGTCAGAGAGCACGGGACAATCGTGCTGGCCAGGCTCAACTCCGCTTCTTCATGTCAGTCACGAGAGATCAACACCGAGAAATTCAGTTTGGGGAGAGATTTCTGCACAATATAGTGTGAATACAGAGCCTTCAGATCCTACAGAACCTGGATTTAATTCCATCTCCATATCTTTTAAGGGTGATGAGTCTAGGATTGAGTCTCTCAGAGCCTCAGTTTCCCCATGCAAGGCAAGGGCCATGCCCACCTTGATGAGTGCTGGCTCCACAGTCCTCTTCCCACTGTTGTGCCCTTGGGCCTGTCCTGCAGTGAGCCTGAGGGGACCTCATCCATCTGCCTTGTCCTGTCTCACTTGTGGCAGTCACACGATCACACAGCCCTGCTGATGACCACCTGCCTTCGATGGCCTGCTATCCGATCAGTAAGCTGGACCCTCCTTGGTGGAGGAAAATGGTCACCGTGGTGACGTGGCAGGCCGATCAGCCGTCAGGGAGAACGCTCGGAGCATCTTGCACAGCCCAAGCCCACTGGCAGCCCCGGCAGATGCAGGCTGTCGCACAGGTCCCTTCCTCCCAGGGTCAGCACCACGTCTGAGGCCCTCTCAAACGGCTCCTTCCACACGGCCCAGCAGCTGTGGTTTGGGTGATGTGTGCCTGGGCCCAGAACTGAGCCTCCGTCACGCTAACGTGCGGTCTGCCTACCTCTCAGACACTCAGTGCCCACATCCTGGCCCCCCTGGATCTGGCCCTAATCTCTAACTGCCCACAGCCACCAAATATAAACTGAAAATGGGACAGAGAGAAACAAGGAATTAAAAACAAGTGCTCAGCCCATCCGGCGTGGCTCAGTGGTTGAGCATCCACCCAGGAACCAAGAGCCACAAGCCTGGGCTTCGGCTCGATCCCCAGTAGGTAGGGTGCATGCAGGAGGCAGCTGATCAATGATGTTTCTCTGTTTCTATCTCTCTACCCCTCTCCCTTCCTCTCTCTAAAAATAAAAAAATAAATTTTTTTTAAAAACACACACAAGAGCTCAGTCAGGAAGATCGCTGTGGACCTTGTTTACGGCTGGCTGAATAAGGCTGCCTTTCATGGGTCCTCACCGCGTGGCTTTCCATCAGGTGGTCTGTTGGCAGTAAAATTCACCTTATTTAAACTTTCTCTCTCTTAGCAAATGGTGACAGTGTCTCATGGAACCACAGCAGCCCCAGCAATGGGAACAGTTTGGTTAAGGGGTGTTGACAAGCTCTGCACCAAACCTTCTCCCCACTAGCCTCCCAAGGCACCGCGTCCCACCAGGACAATCCCACCAGGTTGCCTGTGAGAAAAGATCTCGTCTTTTGTCTTCAGCACGAATTAATTATAATGCTCAGGGCTTGAGGAGAACATTAAGTATTGCCCTGCGTAAAGGCGGGTTGGGAGGAAGCTGCATGGACAGGAATGATTACAGGACAAGGCGAGTGTGGCACTGAGATCCGGGGGTAAGAGAGGGCCTCTGCTGGTGTATGGTATGTGTAGGGGGCATCCTGGTCTTGGGGGCCAGAGAGTGGGGGCTGCAGACAAAGGGAGATGGCAATATGACACATTTTTAAAAATTAAATTATTGGGGTGGCATTGGTTAAGGAAAATGACAAATTTGAAGGAAGCTGAAGCTCGAGGAAGTGTGCTCTAGAGCTAGCTCTCCACACGGATGGAATAGAACTGCATTAGCTGTGACTCAGTTTCACATGAAGGCGCACTGGCTGTCAGAATGGACCGACCCAAAGCGCTCGGTCGCACCCACTCAGGCTCCCGCTGAAAGGCAGCCCGGTGCCAGGAAGCACACCCCGCGTGCGCTGCCTGAAGGCCGCAGGGCGGCAGCTTGCTCGCTCTTCCCCCAGCACGAGCGAGAACTCGAGAGCCAGAAGCCTATCAGAGAGGGGTATGAGTGAGCTTGAAAATAAGGCAGAACAATTTTAAGTATAATCGAAAAATAAACAAAACCAAATAAGTTGATATATTTTTAAACACACTTAAAATATCTCCTTTCATTTTGGAAACCAAAGTTAACATAAGCATTTCAACCTGCAGGACTGAAAATAACACAACGTCGGAAACACAGGAAGGTGAGCAAATAGGAAAAGTGGAGTTTTCTGAATATATTTTTATTTTTTACTGAGTAATGCAGTTGATTACTCTAAGGTTCTAAACCCTCCCATATTGCCGGAATAATTATAATAAATAACAGTATTGAATAATAGTATTAAATTTTTATGAAGTATCAGAAATTTCTAAAATTATTACATGTAACGTGGCCAGGATACTGTGTGGTAGAAATCGTAGTCTCCATTTCATAGATGAGAGAACTGAGAAGTTACGAAACCAGACTAATAGCAAACTGCAGTAACTGCCAAAACCAGGGCTAGAAACACCACTGAAGGGTCTTAAGAGGAAATTTAAATTTGTTGGCTTTGGAAAAATAGTTTCTCATTGGAACCTAATTAACATTTCAATGCAAACATTTGCTTAGAATCTATTGCAATAGCTTAGCTTCAACCTCCCATCTACCACCTTGAACTACCAGTCTTATGATCAGACACCAAAATCTCATACAAAACAACTTCTCTCGGAAGTGGCCCCAATCTTCTCATACTCAAGTGACTGTTCATCTATTACAACCCTATTTCCCCCAAGGATTTGACATAACAGGAAGAGCATTCCAAGTGCATGCCAAACCTTTAATGCATTCCACATTAATCCCAACCCACTCGTCTATTCAATGAGTATTGGGTGCCGCTGTAGGCCAGGCACAGGCGTTGCTGCTGAAGACACAGAAGAAGCCCAAGGCCTTATGGAGGTCACGTTTCAGTAGGAACAACAGATATCAGGTAGATGGATAGATAAATACATAGATATCGATAGGTGATAGATATAGATGATGATAGATAGATGATAGATAGATAGATAGAGATAGATAGATGATAGATAGATAGATAGATAGATGATAGATAGATGATAGATAGATAGATAGATAGATAGATAGATAGATAGATAGATAGATAGATGATAGATAGATGATAGATAGATATAGATGGTAGATAAAATAATGTGGATATGTTCTTGTGGCAAAAACTGAGTGATTCCTCCCAGAAACTGCCTATCTCCCTTGTCAGTAAGGTAAGCTCTGTATTTTAGCCACCAGATGGCCAAGCAAAACAAAGTCAATGTCACCAACCTCTCTCTGGCTGCGCGTGGCTATTTGACTAAGTTCTGGCCACAAGGCTGTGAGGGAAAGAGGTTGTGCTCTGAGGGAGACCGTGTGCCTGGTTCATTTCCTGCTGACTGAACTGTGAACATGGGGACCAGAGCTGGAGCACAGTTCAGGCCCGAGGGCTCCACATTTTAGGGACAGTGGAGCACATGTTAGAAGGTGACTGAGCCCCTAATGTCAGGTCCTTCACTCCAGCCCTAGATCACCTGCCCCTGCACTAAGCTTGTGTGGGAAAACGCACTTCCATCTTGTACAATTTCTGTGTTTCGGGGTTCTCTGTCACTCCCATTTGACTTAAATCAGTCAAGTGGCCACTTAAGAGAGAAGTTGTTTTGTGCAAGGGGTTTTGTGAAACGGGTTATCCATTCTGATCATAGGACTGATAGTTCAAGGTGGCAGATGGTAGGTTTAAGCTAATCTATTGCAATCGCCTCTTAGCGAATGTCTGTATTGAAGGTATTAATTAGGTACCAATGAGAAACCATTTTGCCAAAGCTGACATGCTATACAAAAATACAGAGAACCACGAAGCAGAGTAGGGACCAGAGGGTGGCACCCTGTGGCATTTCAGACCAGAGGCTTGGGAAGGACTCGGGAGACACGGTTGGGGTCCTGCGTACGTGAGCCATGTGGTGGAGAGAAGCCCCAGCAAGTGGGGGTCACGAAAGCAGAAGCCCAGAAATGGGAGCACGATCCTGTGTCCCAGGCCCAGCGGGTGTGGCCGCCCTCCCACACCTCTCATCCCCCACCCCCCGAATGGGAACCCCGACTCCACAGCTGCAGGGATGGGCCCGCGTGGTGCGCGCTTCCCTAAGGGTCTCGTCAAACAGCGTGACCCGTGGGGAGCCTCAGCTTCTCGGCAGGACAGCCTCATGGCTCAACATCTACCGTCCATTTCAAAACGCTCCCCACTGTGCTGTACAAATATTCCGCATCTGTCTCAGCCTGGCCGAGGGGTGGCTCTCCTGACCCCCGTGCGTCATCTGCTTCCTTCTTAAGTCCCATGGGCCTGACATCCCGCGCTCTCATTTTAATTGTTCATAGCCTACCGCTCTGTTCTAATGCATGTGTGTCTTGCCATCTCCACTAAGACGTAGCCTTAGAGCTACATCTTTAAAAGCCTTTAACATCCCTTTTGGCTACTATCTCTTCAAACGGAGGGTGCTCCACCAAAGCCTCTGTGTGTTCATTCAGCCAGAAACAATGGAGAGAACCTAATCTCCCCCTGCCCTCTCTTTCGCCAGGAAGATATGAGTGGCTGAGGCATTCGCTGCTATATATAGTCGGCTGATGTCAGCTGGATGCCAGCCTCTTCGGCAAGGCTCAGTCCCCGCTGATCAGAGCGAGGGACCATGCCGTCTCGGGCGCAAGGATAAGAGCCATCGGCCCAGGAGCCACCCGGTCCCACCGCCGTCTTCCCTCCACACCCGGGGATTCGTCCCGCTGGAAAGCAGGGCCCAGAGCAAGGTGAGTGCCCCGCTTCCCAAAACGGCTTATCCCTCGGCTGTCCACGGGGCCGCAGGGCTGTGACTCAGAAATGAGCATTCTTTGCTGTAAAGGACAGCTGTCGATGCCAATTTTAACGTCACCACCAGAGCGTTCTGCTTTGCTCTGTGTCCTTCCCTCATTGTCACAGTTTGCTGGAATGGATGTACCGGGATGCTGTGCGAGTGGAGGCCAGTAAGGACACAGCGACAGGTGACCGTGAACCAGAACAGAGCGAGGGGCAGGAGGCCTCTCTCACTGTTCCCCGCTGCCTGACGGTCACTGCGCTGGTGCAGAGACAAGGCCGAGCCTGAGGCCCGGGTGTCACCCGGCCCACCGTGACGCTGCGGGTCCATGAGCGACAGGCTCGGTCCCCGGCAGGGATGCACAGCACAGCCTCAGGAGAAAGCAGTAGCACATTCTTCATAGAGCAAGGATGCTCTTTCCAAAGGACCGTTATGACACCCCCGGGGAGCTCCTCACGTGGCTTCAACATTTGTTTTACAGGGAGCGAGCCATGCTGCCACACAGCTCCACGGTGACGCAGAGGAAGCAGCAGGCCGCGGCCATCATGAAGGAAATCCACGGACATGGTACCACAACCCCTCTGCGGCCTGAGCGTAGCCGGGCCCTAGCGCGGCCCCTTCCTGACGCCGCTTGCCGGCCTGTCGGCGTCCGCGCCCCGGGCATTGTGTCAGGGCAGAGCCGGAGCTCCGGGGCAGAGCGAGCCTATGGCCACTAATCCCTTTGTAGTCATTCTTTCTCATCTGGAAGCTATTTTCAGATGAGCAACTGCTGGAAGGAATGAGGCATCTAACAGCTGAGGGCCGTTGTGCGGGAGCGTGGATGTCACTCCCGGTCTGTCTTCTTGTTGGTCAGGTCTCCGGTTTGTCTTCCTTGTTCATCCCACGTGGCAAGGCTTGGTTTATTTCCCTTAGAGTCCATAAATCATTAGAAATCTGTTCTATCACCCTCCCCCCCCCTTTTTTTACAAAAGATGTTAGGTTGGAATTCATAATTCACTGTAAATTTCTTTAACCCTGAAACCAGTCATCATGGTTAGTAATTAATTTACCGAGACCAAGATATTTTGTGTGGAAATCTACTTTTATTTATAATTTCTAGGAAAATATAAAGTTCTTGTAATCTCAAAGCCTGCGATTCAAAATAATTTTCAGTGTAAATCAGATGCAAGGTGATTTCCACTCTCTCCTTTTCTTTAGGTTCTAGCAAATAACTCTAGGAATCAGTGCTTTAGACACTGCGTTCTGACTGTTGTGAAGGAAACTCAGGGTCGTTCACGGGCAAAGGGTGTCGTCAATGTTAAAAGAGAGTAAGTAGAACATCCAGACGCTTTTCAGGGCTGACTCGAGCCATTCCAGACAGACCTGTGGAGTTTTCAGCAGGGTGCCCTGCAGCTCCCCCCAAGGGCAAGGAAGGTACCTTCCACCTGAGCCGCAGCGAGCCCCGGGCGTGAGGGCTGCAGGGGCGGCCGGGTGGGCAGCGCTGTTCCCACCTCACCTGCCCCAAAGGGAGCGAACGGAGCCCAGAGCGGACGTTTTAGATGCTCCCCCGACAGTGCAGTCCAGTCGAACAGGTCGTTTTCTGTTTTCTGCAAGATGACATCAGCACATGAACCCAAGCCAGGCCCCGTGTCTCATGATGTCAGACTAGCTTGGAATAAAGCGAGAATGATTCTGGATCCGATTCCATTAGATTCCAGAACTGAAATCCATCCAAAGTCCCAAACACATGCTTCCTGACAGTGGATAGGCTTCCTTGTGCTTCCTGGTAATTTACTTGAAATTGTTTTTATAGTTTTCCTGGTCAATATGTCAAAAATCAGATGATCACTTGAATCCAAGACTAAATTATTTACCTTAAAACTAGACCTGAGATGTTATCATTTCCTCATTGCCCCATAATCATAAATCAATTGACCCCTTTAATGAATTCCCCGTTTAAATCACATGCTGGGTCCTACTCTAGCTTAGTCTAGACATGGACCTACAAGGATAAGAGTCGCCTTTCCTTTTTATAAAGCATAACCCTGGTGTTCATGAAATATAAAAGAATACAATTATATCTCAAACGGGGAAAGCCCCTCAACACCACCATCTGAGCAGCAGCAGGTCCGGCCCTGAGCCGTCCCCTGAAGCCCCCCTTCCCAGTCACGGGTGGAGTCACACGCTCTGCCTTTGTCTGGGGCCCGAGGATTCCAGATAACACAGGGATCATCCCAGCCTCTCTCACTCCTCACACAGAACAGCTGTAGTGCTTTATGGAGCAGCTTAAACAACTCCCCCCAGTCCCTCTGACAAGTTCTAGGGAACTTGCCTATCTGTACGCAGCTTGATGTTTAGGGTCCTGGGGCTTAGGGGAACATCAATTTTCTAAGGATGCAGAAATGAGACCTGGAAGGCAGAGAAACCGTTCTGGGCACCATCCTCCAGACTTTCAAATACTAAGTTGCAGCAGTAAAAATCTGGATGATTTAAGACACAGCGTGTGGCTGTCTCAATCTTAATTATACGACTAATTCAATCAAGCTGAACTGGATCGTCCTATATAGAAATGAAGAGAATGTTTTAAAAGCCCCCCTTCCCTTGTGCATCAGGATTTGTTTATAGTATTATAAGCAACTTATTTTTATATCCATTTTCAAAACGCATTTAGCCTGTAGGAGAATGGACTGTGACAATGAGCCGGCCAAGAGGGCCACCTTCCATCCCTGAGACGGAAGTTGGGTCCAGTCCTTGTTGTGGGGGAGACCCCAGTGGGTGGACCTTTGAGATCAATCAGTAGAAAAAGATAAAAATTAAAAAAACAAACAAATGAGAGTTTTTCAACAGAGCACTCATCCCACCTGAAGGAGAAATAATCTCAAGGAATTTCTGAGAAGTGCTATCCACCTAGATTAAACTATGAGAAACTGGGTAGACGTGAGGAAAAATGGCAACTCCTGGTCTCTCCTACCTACACCCCAAGTTGTTACTCATTATGGGCCCATTATGTTTGCTGTCAGATTGTGTCCCAGGAGCAAATACACCACACTCCCAACAAATAACTAATAAAACGTGTCCCCTGACACTAGGTGGTATCCTCTGGACCGACCACACTTACCGCTATGCCGTGGTCACCATCAGTACTGGGAATAGAGGAGCTGATGGGGCAGCTGTCCTGTGTTACTGTCAAGATACAAAACCTCTGTTTTGCACAGAAATATCAGAGCCATGTTGCACCATGTACGCGCGATTCTAAAACAGACTGAAACCTAGGATGACCTGGCCCTTGTGTGGGATGAGTCCTGTGGGGCAGGAGAGGGCTGCTTCTTGCTCAGCACCTCACCTGGGACTTGGACACTGAAGGACGTGGGGGGGGGCGGGGGGAGCAAAGGGCGTTTGTAGAGAAAGAGAAGGGGGGCAGAAAGCGCGGAGAGACGCTCAAGAACACCTCGTGTTTGTCCAAAGTCGTGGGGCAGGAACTGGAAATAAAATGCCCATGAGAAGTGAAAGGGCCATGCCCCTAGTCGTAGGCGCAGATGTTGCTGACAGTTTAGAAGGAGAGCTTCAGAAACAGGGAGGGCCCCAGATCTTAAGGCTGCTTCTGCCGCCTTCCAGTTTCCTCAGTTTCCTCGCCTGGGCTCTGAACTGGTTTTTTGGGGGGATAGCAGGGGGTTTGTTTTGTGTTTTGTTTTTTCCCTGATGACTGGTGACCGGCTTTCCCCAGCACAGAGCAGAGGACCGGGGTGCTGTTTTTGTGATCTCAGGAGAAGGGCTTAGCTTGGTGCGAACAGGAACCCAGGTCCTAGATGGGGGGCTGTGGACGATACGGTACCGGGATCCCCGGGTCCAGACCACACATCAGAGCCCTCAGCCGAAAGTGAGGAGGCCGGGTGTGCTGACACATCTAGTTCTCAATCCTGTCACTATTCTACTGAGCTATGTGCCAAAGTCAAACATCAGTGCATTGGGGTTTCTCCCCCAATAAATAACAAAAGCAGTGGTAATATTGACATAACTGCAAGGGCTCTTGGAAAAGCATAGAGTATAACATCTTTAATTTCAGATGAAAGACTATGTGAAGACCCTTTTCCCTTTCCTGGATGAGCAAATCTTAAACTGCAATTAATCAAGTCATCTGTATCAAAATAAAGACACCAGGAAGGCCTTAAATACCACAGATCAAAAAGTTTGGGGCAGAAAAGGAATCTGACCTCACCTAATGCTTTCTTGCACAAGTTTGTTAGTTTTCTTTGGTTTAAAATTTCTCATAACCCTAAAAGAAAGGATGTTTTATTTTGAAAACTGGTGTGCAGTAACACCTTGTGAATTCATAGATGTCCCAAGCATGCCGCAGGCTGCTGCACCCCAGCACAGCCCCCCAGAAACAGAGCAGCAGGAAACCAGGCTAAGTTCCAGTTTCCGGCAGGTGTTTAATTCCAGCCACACTGTTCCGTCACCCAGGGTCTTTGCTGCCTTTCGCACTCTCAGGTGCTCTAGGTGTCCATCCTATAAACAGAACTAGATGATTCTGTTTGTGCCATTAGATTCATGTAATTTAATATATTGGTAATCCCATTTCTTAAATGTTTATAGATTTACACAGCCATGAAATGATAATATTTTAATTAATAGTTATTTTTTTAAGAACTTTATAAAATAGTCTTAGAACTCAAATCAAGGCAAAGAGATATAAAATAGGAAAATAAGAAATCCCAGATGGATTTCACTATCAACTTTTTAATATAGAGAAAATGATTAATAAAGTTTTATCAATTGTAGCCTTTTCGGGCATTTTTCAAAATCACAGTCTGTACTGTTATCTTTTATATAGCACATTGTGTTATGCAATCATGTATATTTCATAGACTAATGGACGACCCACATAGTCCGACTGCAGGCAGTCCTGTCAGGTGCAGAGGAAATCTGCTGGCCTTAGTCAGGCTCCTAAGTAAAGCCAGGGACCACCCCACAGCCAGTCCGTTTCAGGGGCTCGGCCCCTTCCACCAGAGCTGCAGCTGCCAGGGGGTCGTGGGGAAACAGTTGTGAAAGATCGCTTGTCTTACTACCATTATTTATAAGTGGGTATCTTTACCAAGTGTGAATTGAATCCACTGATCTAACTAAATATGTAACTTTGGCAGGATCAAGTTTTCAAATAAAAAATACAGAACGACTTGGGCACACATAAATCTTTGTTGACTTAATTTCAGAATGTTAATCTATGAAACTAATGCGAAAAAAAACAAACCCAAAAGAATGTTTCCTACGGAGGAATTTAAGTGTCTACTCATAAGACTATACATTGAAGTAAGTTTTGAAAAATGAACTGATCTCACTTTCAATGGTGACTGACATTCTTCCAATAAAATCTGATTTTCCTTTTGTTTCGAGCACTTGCAGTATAAAAAGTGGAAGGAAAGTATACTCAAAAATCCAAATGCATGAACTCTTTAAATGCAAGATTTCAAATCTTAATTTAACTACAAAAATCTTGTACATTGGAGGATACTACTGAGAAGGAATATTGGTGACAATTATTTAACATTTCTAGTAGACCAAAAATTATGAGATTTAAGGGGGGAAATTAATTTGATTATGATCAAGACTCTAATGTTATGTGTTGATGTTTATCTTTCCATAATTAAATATTTATTCAAAGATAATCACCAATTCCTTGAAAGAAGAGCAAAATATAATAGATGATGTCTTATCAAATGATTAAAGAATAAAAAGAAAATTCTGGGTCAGTATCAATGACATCAGTAGGAAAACACGCCTCACAATATTATTTTCAATGGATGATCTAATGCCACAAAGACAACCTTTAATCCATCGGGTCAAGGATGCGTATCCTGAATAAGTTATATCATTTATCAGGCATCCAGCTCAGACGCAGCTAAGACCCTGCGCAGGGGTTTGCAGCAAAGGGCAGGGAACAGCTGAGCTAGGACTCCGTGTGCCCAGCGACGCCCTCCGCGCTCGGATAGTCTAAATGGTGAGCGTGTCGTCAGTGGGCGGCCCGGGCTCCTGCTCTGGCCATGGCGCAGGTTTAGCTACCGCCCGGGAGGGGGCAAACCTGGGAGAAGTTACTTCATGTCTTTTGTTGTTTGTGCAAACTATGTTGACTTAACATTTGCCTGCGTCTAGTGGTATGCTAGCGAATATTGAACTACTGGTTCTTTAGCAGGGGGAATGCCTTGCTCTGTAGAGTTTCCTAATTTCTTTTCTTTTCTTTCTTTATTTTTTTGTTAATCTTCACTTGAGGATATTTTTTCCATTTTTTTTTTTTTTTTTTTTTGAGAGAGTGGAGGGGGACGGGGACAGGGACGGGGAGAGAGAGAGATTGGTTGCCTCCCGCAGGTGCCCCGGGGGGCCCGCAATCAAACCTGCAACCAGGCAAGTGCCCTTGACCGGGAATTGAACCCGAGACCCCTCAGAGCTCCGGCTGACACTCTAACCCCTGAGCCACACCAGCCAGGATGAGTTTGCTAATTTCTGTGGTATAAATACTCCCACGGTGGCCAGTATCAAGCTGCCATCAGAGTCACTGCGTGGGGACTTGTGGGGAGATGTGGAGCAACAGGACATTATGTAGTTTCCACCGAACAGATACATTAGATATAAATAACACCAAGAGCACAGATAACAGCAAAAATTAGTAAAAGATTTAGACAGTGATACTTTTTGAGTCTTTATTGCTCTGTTTTTAATATAACTTATCTAATTACTAACTTTATATAATTTAAGTGTAATAATGGTTGTGTTCATGGAGTTTAGTGCCTCATAGCTTTCCTGAATATTTATCAGTGGACCCTGGTGATTACGTAGCCTTTACTGACTGGCTTCTTTCCCTCAGCAATATACATAAAGAGATCATTCATGTCCTTTCATGGCTTGATACCACTTAATTAAACCTTTTATTCTGAGATAATTGTAGTTTCATATGCAAATATGAGAAATAATAGAGCTACCTCCCTTAACAGAATCCTTCTCAGAATAAAAGTTTATAATTTTGATAAAGTCCAATTTATCAGTTTATTCTTTAGTGGAGTGGACCATGCTTCGGTTGTCAACTTCAACGCTGCCCAGCCCTAGATCCCGAAGGTACAGTCGTGCGATCTTTCTTCTTGAGGCTGTTAAACGATGGGGGATTGGGTCGATAGATATTTGAATACTGACCCAGCCTTGTATCCCTGGAGTAAACCCCTCTAGCTCATGGTGTAGTTATTTTTATATGTTGCTGAACCCTACGTACTAATACTTTGTGAAAGGCTTTTGCTTCTGTATTCAGGAGGGATACTGGCCTGTAGCTTTCTGTGTGTCTGGTTTGGGAGCCAGGGTTGTGTTAGCTTAAGAATGAATTGGGAAGCGTCCCCTCTTTTTCCACTTGCAGGCAGAGGCTCTGCAGCCTCGCAGTGAATTCTTCCTTGAATGGTAGGGTTCTCCAGCGACACCATCTAGCTCGAGAGATTACTCTTACTCTTCGGAGACATTTTAAATTTATAAATTCAATGGCCTATTCGGTATAGAAGTAATTAGATTATCTACTTCACATGGGACAAGACGTGGTACTTTGCATTTTTCAAGAACTTGGTCAATTTTTTCCAAGATTTCAAATGAATGTGCAGAGCTGAGTGTAGCCATCTCATGGTCCATCTGCTACCTGCAGTGTCTGCAGTGGTCACTTTGTTCCTGACGGGGATCTGTGTGTTTCTACAGTGTTTCAGTGTCAGTGTAGCTATAGAATTGTGAGTTTCACTGATCTTTTCAAACCCCAACTCCAAGTGTAACTGATGCTCGCTGTTGCACTTCTGATGGTAATTCCCACCCTTACCTTCATTATGCCTTACTCCTGCTTGCTTTGGGTTTAGCTGGCTCTTCCTTTTCTACATTTTTTATTTTTTTTATATATCTTTATTGATTTCTGAGAGAGGAAAGGAGGGGGAGAGAGAGAGAGAGAAACATCAATGATGAGAGAGTCATTGATCGGCTGCAGCCCGCGACCCGGGCATGTGCCCTGACCGGGAATCGAACCCCGATCGCCTGGATCCTAGGCCGACGCTCAACCGCTGAGCCACGCCCGGCCAGGCCTTATCTACATTTTTTAGGTAGAAGCTTAGATCACTGGTTTGAGACCCTCCCTCTTTTGTAATGTACGCATTTAGTGCTAGAAAAGGCCCTTCCTCTCCCGCGGGGTGAACAGTGGGCCTCCCACTCTGACACGCAGCGTGGTCATTGTCATTCAGCTCAGTGCACGTGGTATTTCCCCTAAGACTCCCCCTGCAGCCCGCTGGTTATGTAGAGGGTGTTGCTTAGTTTCCAAATGTTTGGACATTTTCCTGTTATGTTTCTGATTTCTGGAGTGATTCCACTATGTTTCATGCATGGGGGACAACAGAGACTAACACATGAAGAGAACTCAAACCGTAAGGTTGTGTCTCCCGGCTGTGGGACGCAGCCAAGGCGCGCGTGGTCGTGGACGGAGGCTGAGGGGAGGGAGGGAGGCTGCACTGCAAGCACTTGGTCCTTCGACACTTCTCGCCTGCCCCCAGCACGTGCGCTCCTTGGTGACAGAGACGGGAAACGGGGCGGCATGGGGGAAGGGTGGGCGTTCTAGTGGCAGGGGCGGCTCGGGCTGACGCGTCAAAAGTGGGGAGCAACACCGAGCTCATTAAGAAAACTCCCCAATTCTGGAAAGATTAAATTCTCCTCCTAGTGAGGGCAGCGCACTTTCATTCACTCTGTGTGCCAAGCAGCAAGCGAAACGCTTCATAGGAAGCATTTCTTTAACCCTCACATCAGCCCCCTGTGGTCGGTCTTAACCCCTGAGCCCCATTTTATAGATGAGGACACTGAGGTTTAGAGGAAAAGGAACACACCTGTGACCATGCTGCTGGGGAGTGGCGGAGCCAGGGTGGCAGCCTGGGCACAGAGCCCGTATCTGTGTCACCACCACACTAGCAGCTGGCAGCTGGTGAGGGAGGGAGCCCAGAGGAGCACCTAAGTGCTCACCACGGGGTTCTCACACACGTGCGTGTCGCTTTGCAGGCGTGGACAGCATGCACCTGGGCAAGAAGGTCAGCATCCCCCGCGACATCATGCTGGAAGAGCTGTCCCACCTCGGTAACCGCGGCGCCCGCCTGTTTAAGATGCGCCAGAGACGGTCGGACAAATACACATTTGAAAATTTCCAGTATGAATCGAAAGCACAGATAAATGTGGGTATAACTTGATCACGTGGTATGTAAATAAACGGGCCACGTTTCTAAACGTGTAGGTATTTCCAGGTTCCCAAACAAGCACCCCGCCTATGTTCTTTCCGTCGATCCTGCCAGACTCCCTTTACCATGACCGTGAGTAGTGTCGGCGGGTAAACAGAAGAATGTCCCGTGTGACTGAGTATCTCTAGTCCCGCAGGGACACTGTGAGCCTGGGGACTGGCACTTGAGGTCCTGGCCTTTCT